GTTAGGTGTTAACTGACTTGCAAAATGGGCTGACGAGAATGGTTATAAGTTTAACACTGACAAGACTACTAGTGTGCTTTTCTCGAGACGACGAGGTGCGCATCCTGACCCCTGCATACTAATGAATGGACAAAACATAGTCATCGTGAAAGAACAAAAATTCCTCGTTGTAATTTTTTATTCCAAACTCACCTTCATCCAGCACATAAAACAGCTGAAGTTAAAATGTCTCAAAATCATGAACCTTTTAAAGATTTTATCGCATCAGTCGTGGGGGACAGACAGGCACTGTCTCATATCTCTGTTTCGAAGCCTGGTTCTGTCACGCATAGACTATGGATGCATAGTATATCAGTCAGCTTCAAGGACAGCACTGAAAATGTTGGACCTTGTATACCACTTAGGTATCCGGCTGCCACTTGGTGCCTTCCGTACCAGCCCTATTCACAGCCTTTATGCAGAGTCAGATCAGTGGCCACTAGACTATCAGCGCACGTATCTAGGAGTCAGCTATGCAGTTAAGATCATGTCTCTGAAGCAGCACCCATGCAAAACACTTATGAACGATGTGTTTAATACCCAGTTATACCTAAACCGTCCTTCTATCGCCCCACCGTTTTTATTGGCCATAAGACCTGCAGTAGAAAACTTGCAATTTTTTTCAATGACTTGGAGGAAAGTGACTATGTCGAACACATCCCTTCCTGGCAGCAGTGGGCAGTCACTTGTGACTGGTCTTTCAAAGACATCATAAAGGAAAATTGTCCAAGTGCGCTCATTGAGCAACATTTCTTGGCCCTTGAACACAAATATTGTTCAACCGCGTTCTTCTTTGATGGCTCAAAGTCTCAAACATCTGTATCTTGTGCAGCCTACGGACAAAAGTTCTCGGACACCAGGACCATGCATACACATACCAGCATTTTCACAGCGGAAGCCTATGGTATCCTGCTTATTATACAACACATTCAACAACACAAGATACAAAAGTCTATAGTGTACACAGATTCTTTAAGTGTTGTCAGGGCCCTGTCTTGTGGCAAGTACAGCAAGAAACCTACTTTCAACAAGCTCCTTAACGAAATCTATGCAGCCTACAACCTAAAACTTTCTATTGTTATTTGCTGGGTTCCAGGTCATTCTGGAATTGCGGGCAATGAAATAGTGGACAAGAATGCACGAGGAGCCGCTGGTTGGCAAACCATAGATATAACCTCTGTTCCGGGTGTAGATCTAAAACCTGTTGTACGTGGAGGTCTACGCAACCACTGGCAAGCTGAATGGGACAGAGAAGTCGGCAACAAACTCCACCTTGTAAAACCTCAGCTGAGAAAAGTTATCCCACAAAAACTCAACAGGTTCGCCGAAGTCACTCTAACACGGCTCAGAATAGGCTACACTTATGCCACACATAAACACCTTTTGACAGGCACTGATCCACCTACATGTATACACTGTGGAGAGAGTCTAACTGTTGTGCATGTCCTCATTCAATGTCCTGTGCACGACTGAACCATTTCAGGGGCTCTATCGATATCATATCCCACTTCATCCAGCGCTGTTTTTATCACTTGATGCAGTGGTTGACCTTAAGAGACTTCTTCATTATCTTGGGAAAGTCAAATTTTTAACAATGATATCATTCCACCCTAGCCACCAGGCTGCGCCTCAAGTGTGAGGTACTGCCTGGTGCATAAAAAGTATGTCTGAGCCTTCGCAGTTCTTGCTCAGGCAAGCACTTCAGCTGCGAGGGTTTTGGGCCTTGCAGACTAATTTATTATCACAGACTTCAGCCAACGAAATGAATTTTTTTTAACAAAGTGACATTCTTTTTAAATGCTCTGTGTTTTAAATGGTTCGTAGATATTTGCTACACATCATTTATTTTAATTTTAAAACTAAAAACCAAAATGAAACAACCACTTGTACTGGCGCTCTTTGGCCTTAGATGCCCTTGCGCCAATAAAACTTAACATAATAATAATAAGATTCATGGTGACACTCAAGCTGGAGGGTGCAAGTACAAAGTTGGATCAATGTTTAGTGTATTATTATGCAGTTGGTAAAAAACTTCAAGTGTGCGATTTGCCTGCGCTCCGACAGCTTCTGAAGGTTGGAGCTGTGAAGTAGCGCTATCCTGCCTGTCTTAAGATGCGACAATGTAGGGCTAAGTAATGCACATACTTTTATTTTTACTGTCTTCAGTTCATAGTACATTGGCATAACTTTGACTCAAACACTTGCATCAGAGCCAACATTGTTGTTAGGGTCCATATCCGCAGTGACGAGACGCTGTTACCTCGAGCAACTGTGCATATAGTCCTTCTGCTAATAAAGTTCTGATGCTGCATTTAGATTCGGTAGCTCTGTAGTCAGATTTAGGCGTGCATTAAAGAAGTGCATAAGGTCAAAATAAATCCCGAGTCGCCCGATATAGTGTGCCCGTCTCATGTAATGGTTTTAGGGCAAAAAGTCCAATGTTAAAGAGATATTCTCAGTTACAACTGCTGGGAAAGCAGACACACAACTTGGAAGAGCAAAGACGAAGAAACCAGAGTGCCATTGCATCTGTATTTCTTTGTCACGTTTTAGTTTTCCATGGTTTCCCAGGCAGTTGCAAATGAGCATCCATCTCATTTCATTATACGTTCGTGGAGTAGCAGTGAACAATAGACGACATAAGTCTCATAAATTATTCATAAAACCACAATTATTACTATTAGCGGGGAAAATTTCAGGCTGAAATCCCAATGCGATTACACAAGGGTGACGACAGGTATTTCAAAGCAATTCTTCTGTACTTTGTCCGTGTTGGCTCGAAAACGATTCCCTTTGTTCACCATACAATAGCCCTGGTTAGCTTCAGTACATAGTGTTGCTCGCTTTTTCGAAACAGCAAAGCTGATCTCCTTTGTCACGCTCACTTGCACCCACATTTGTTAGCTCTCATAAATTCACCCTTTCCACTGAGCCTGACCCTCGTCTATCTTGAGGCTGTGCAGCCCTTCTTGCTCTCCTGTCGAGTCCCATTCTCACCACACCGCAAGACCCAGTGACCGGTGCTACACCAAGGGACAGGCAAGCATAGACTAAAACCAGCTTTGCCGTTAAAGACTATACGTACATAAGCTTTCACAGACTTTGCCAGAACTTGCGGTGTCTAGGTGTGCTGGTGTGGCACCTTCAGCTTTACGTTGCCTCTTACCTGTATGATCCTTTCCCGGCTTATTGAACATCTTCTCAAGCCAGGAATAGTATTCTTGCTGTTTTGAGGTAATATACTTTTACAAATGATAACATTTTTTATTGTCCTTCTAACTATGACTTTTGCTCCTTAGTATGTGGCTTAATGAAGTAGCCGACTGGTCTAGTTGATTGTAAATACTTAAGGCTAACAGAGCGAGAAAAATATGGCCATGAACAGGAAAGAGATAGGACAAGCGCTGACTTCCAACTGAATTTTTATTGACAAGAAAGCTCTCATAAATAGCCGAGCAAACAGTTAAAGAAACAGTGGAAAAAAAAAAGACCACTGTCTGCTCTACTTCCTGGGATGCGAGGGTTCATGATGCAGGTCACAGTGATCGTTGATGTTCTCAGTGGTTCCCTATCTTTGCATCAGTTTTCCTGGTGTTTTCTTCATTGTTTCTTTTTTTTTTAACTGTTCACTCGGCTATTGATAAATTTCTTGTCAATGAAATCTCAATTAGAAGTCGGCACTTGCCTCAGCTGTTTCCTGTACGTGGCAGTGTTTTTTTCGCGCTGCTAACCTTGAAGGGGCTCTGAAACACTTTTTTGAGTAACCATGAAATTAATTCACTTGACAAGCGTATTGCCTCAAAAAATCAACGCCGCAGAAATTTTAAGTCTGTCCAGTACGAGTGAAGTTACAAAGATTTGCCACACGCTGCAATCGCATTCTCTCTTCTCTCGTCCCGACAAAAGCCCTGAAAGCTAAGCAGGGTGGGATGGGAGAAGCAAACAAAAAACGTCACGCGCGCCTCCTGACCTTGAGCCTTTTTTCCTTTTTTTTCTTCTTCGAATCACAAATTTTTTAGTGTAACCGCGCGCGCCCGCGTGGACAAGTAGCGGCCTCCCACGACGATCTTTGTAATGACCGAGCGTGTCATGTTCCAATCAGCCAATGGCTGATAGATGGGCTTACTACGAGTGATTTTTGGGCTTATACCGTGATTTGTCGAGAGAAGAGAAAACAATTTTTAGCTGACTTTGATAATTTATTATGAATTCTAGGCCGCGTGCAGCGCTATAATATTTGGCTCGTGTGTTGTCGGGAGCCTCTACTACCGATCGGCAGCGTTTTCTGACCATGCTCAAAAAGTGTTGCAGGGCCCCTTTAAGCGTTCGGATGTGGACCCAAACTTGCTGTTATACTCAGGCATCAGCACAGGCTCAGATTAGGAGAACACTAGGTTCCTGTGAAATGCCTCGCAATATGTTACAATTTCAGGCATGTCCTTTTCCCTGTTGTAAGTTATTAAAAGAACTTCTTCTAGCCTTCGGTGCACTGGTAGCATGACTGTACTTGTCTGCAACCTAATAAAGATTGCAAGCTCTGCCCACAAAACTGGGCCGTGCGTGCTTATCACCTGTGAAAGACAGATTGTGCTAGCTTGTTTCTGACAGAACCACACGTAATTTTTCTCGGCTAGTTTAAATGCCACGTTTATCAAGAGTTAAAGGTTCATTGTTAGTACATACAACATTGTGTTTCGCTGAGAAGCGATGTAACGATCCTCAGCGACACTAAACAAAATGTTCCACTTTCCTTCCCAAGACTAGCCTTACAGATGTGTGTCTGTATAGGAAAGTCCGGTATCTGAAACACCCAAGAAGTGCTTGACCTCACGAAAGTGAGGTCAAGCACTTCTTGGGTGTTTTTTTTTTTTTGGTAGGGACAGCAATGGCTCAGGTGAAGGTGTCGTATTTTACTTGGTTGTAACCGAGTATAACGAAACACACAGTAGACACTGGCAATTTAAAAAAAAGTTGACGTATATCTTTATTTCAATAACACGGGTCTGTCTGAGCATATTGCAAGGACGAGCTCCAGCGGTAAACGTAAAAATAAAAGCACCGGTATAAAAACCTTGTAAATGTACAAAGGCAGTGAACGACATCGCAGAGGACGTACATATAATCTTGCCAAACGGTCCTCGCAGTGCCTTCAGCGCACAGCGGGTGACACAAGCTGCGATGAGCGATGCTGATAAAAACTAAACTAACTTGAGTAGACATTCTCCATACCACAAGAACAACAGGACACAAAGGCTTGATGGAATATTGCACACACGATACGAATCGGTGCCCGAAGTAGCGACCAACTGTAAGAATTGAGCGTACCATACCAGCAATTGCGTGCTATGTAATAGGTCGGGCAGTTTTAAAAGTGGGACTTATACGAGCATCACACAGTGTACTCGATCAGGCCAAATTCGAATTGGTTGTTTTGGCAACGATTGGCTTATATTAATCAGGAGCGGATGAGGGCTAATCACTGTCGCGAAATTCGATACCGATCAGGGCTCGATTGCAATTGAACATGCTTATGCGACACCCGTACTAATTGGATGTAAATATTACTGGGAAGCTCTACTATCACACAGCCATACCAATATCAAATAAAATATCAACAAAGTACCGCTGCAAACGAAAAAAGGAGTTTGCAAGATCTAAGAGCAATCATGGAGGGACATGTGTTGAAAGTACGTATGGTCCAAATGCAGTTGTGCTGAGAAAGCTTGAAAACTTGTTGTATAAATGCATATAATTGGAACATCTTGGAAAACTTCACACAGCCTCAGATATACAAAGATGCTATACCACACTATGATAAACAGTTGTCACTGCTACCAGACCAGCTGCAGTGTTACAGATCGCTCTTACTCACAATAATATACACTGAGAACTTCTCGCACTGGAAAAACTAGACTGCAATTTCACAATTGCAGTGTTAAAAGTGTTTGCCATTCATGCATAAGAACTCTCCAAAACATGGCTATTCATATTTGATTCAGTATGCTGTGACCGCTTGCAGTGTTAGCAAAACTTGTGATATCCGATCACATGGCCTTCCAAGATTGGCTTTTATTACTTAAAAGATGCCATCACTAGGGTTGCAATTTCACAGTGTTTAATTAGTGTTAACCTTTTTTTTTTACTCTAGTAGCGTACATAGCAAGAAAAAATGCACACAACCTCAGCCGATTTATATTCTCTAAACAGCTAAGATAATGCAAAATAAAGACCCTTGAATCAATATTTTAAAATAAGCGCTCTACATAAAGGCTATTTTTTTGCAACAAGGACATTGCAGTTCCAATTTTGATGTTATGTATTAGACTATTCTAATAAGTCACGCACAAAAGAGGATAACCTTGTACAGTGCGTACGAATATTAATGAACGTATCAATTTAGGCTTGAGTAACACACATACATTTGTTTCCATAGTTTTCGGATCGTGTACCATCATAATAGTATTGGCCCGCACACCTACATCAGAGCCGGTGTCACCTTGGTGGCTAGTTTCGTAACGACATGACACGGTCCTCTCGAGAATCGCACATACCAACATTGTTATACTTGATGTCACGCTTCAATCCGGCAGCATTGTACATAAGACACGAAATATGCGCTACTGCTTTGTTCATTTGTGCTTTTTCGAAGAGGCATCAAAGCAAACGGAGGTATAATGGACGAAAAGGCGGCTAGTTCTATGCACAGTACCGTCAAGTGGTACGTCTTGATTGGTGCGGCTGTGTAAGGCAGTGACGGTCAGCGAAACCGAGTGTACCTGTGCTGCAGCGGTTCGGGTGATTCCAGCAAATTGTCACGTTTGATTTGGTTTGTGTACCGGTTTGGGTTTGGGTACAGGTGCACCAGTACTGTACCGATTCGGGTAAATTAAGCAAGCTGTCACATTAGTATAGCTCAAAGGAATGTAGCTAAGAATTGGCGCAGGCAACACACTTGTTTTTTTTTTTTCTTTTATAGCGGTGCACAGAATTTACAAAGAAAGCACTACCATAGGAGAGAATCAGTTCTGTATTAATGTCACAGTGCTACGATACCGCTGAAGTGGTATCACTGGATGGCAAGGCAGAATTTATATCTCCTCAAACACAGTGCGTGGCATAGGAAATGCTGCACTTAGTATGTAATGCTGAATAGCTGCGGCATGATTATTTTGCTAAAGATGATGCACAAGTTATGATACACATTCAGCTACTTCGAGCTCGCATTTCACTTGGAATTCACACATGGGAGACTACATTAGTTGCCATAACAATGAAGGTACACAGAATGGAATAAAATAGGTAACTATCGATTAGATGATAAAGGACGGATAATTGCGGCAATATTCTAATTTGCTAAAAATGATGTTTTCATATGTATTCAGTCATTTTAAACCGCTATTTCACATGGAATGTACACACAGGCTCATTGTTTTAGTTGCCAACACATTAAAGATAAACAAAATAAAATAAAATATGTAACAATAGATCAGATGAAAAAGGACGGAAACTTTAAAAGTCATGCACACTGCATGTTTTGTATGAGAACGTAAGGGTATCACAGAAAGGCAATTTGAAGCTACTTATGCTCAGCACATTGCTAAAAAAACAATGAGATTCTTGTCACAGCTGTGCAAGACAGGCTGCTGCGGTGTTCAAGAACTTATTATTTGAAAGACACGCTGTGTAAGAGGACCAAGCAGAGATAAAGCATGGCAAACTAGCATTTCTCATTTTAAACATTTCCTTTGGTCAGTTCTTTCTGGGAGATATGTCGATAAAAAACAGCACTCAGCATAGCACTGTTTTTAAGACAGCAATTTTTAGGGACTTCTCTTCTGCATATCTTGCGTAGTACTTGAGAAACTTATTTAAGTAAAGTTGCTCACAGCAAGCATGGTATAAGGTGTCGTTAATTACCATGAAAGGCATGCAGCACCTAATTTTTGCATCATTACATAGACTGACTCTTCAATATGTTTAAAATATTTTTCTGGCAAGCACAATTTGTGTTAAAAACTTTACACAACATTCGCAAATAGAGCTGAACCGAATTTATAAACATTAGAAAAAGTTCAGAAGAGTTTGCATGCATGCCAGTGATTTAGCTGAACTCTATTCTATATAACAAGAAAACTTTACAATTGTTGTTTTAATAATACTCCTCATACAATTGGAGTATTAGTATAAGGTGAATTGGTGTCACTTGGTACTTTGCCATGTTTTCAAGATAGCGATGCCTTTTTCTCCCGTGACGCTCATTCATTGAGTTGTGCTTGTAAATGTAAATTGGGGGTAGTCACCTTTTCCTCGTACGTACACGACACGCACAGACTAAACACGAGCCACACTGAAATAGTAGTACAACAATCATGCTTCCTGTTCTCAGTACCCTTTGGCCATCACCAGCTCTTGCGCCATAAAACACCACACATCGTCGTCGCCATCCCTTCCTTTCCTTCTTGGCGAACGCCGTCTCGCACTCATATGTGCAACACTTCATCAAACTTGTGTGCCCCTTTTGAGATTCATAACAATGCCGCTTGCAAGCGTTGAAGGAATTGTCCGTCGCGGCTCAATGGAATGTAGCTACCGGGTCACCGGGATTCGCTTGCGAGCGGCCATGGCTGGAGTACGTGTCCTCAGCTGGCATGTCATGCTTCGTCAGCCAAGGGGTTGAATTTGTCGTATGCATATCCAGCACTGTAGGTGAACCGGAGGGCATCCTGCATAGAGGTGAGGGTCTCAACAATATAGCAATGCTCGAACCGGGTTTAAATGAATGAACAAGTTCTAAAGTAATATTGTTGCGCCTGCTCCTGAAAACGATGAAATAATCAGCAGAAGTAACCAAGACATAATTGCAATAATTAGCTTACAATCGCTAAAGACCCTTTGGAAACGTGCGGATGACTTCAGCGCCGTGCGAGACAGGGCACCGTTGCCTCGCCGAGTGAGCAAAGGCCCTTAATCGGGGTTGCATTGCTACATCTGATGGGAGAAGAGCTGGACGGAACTCACTGCAGATGATGCGTATCTCAACTGCTGTATCTAGCAGGAAGTCAATAGAGAGCTGCAAAAAGTAGCTTGCATGTCGCACGCCATGCTTGTGAATCTCCCTAACAATATTCTTCTCATGCGGGGGGAAACCCAATACGCTTACCTCAAACACTGGCATCGTCGATGCCTTATTAAACGAAGCGATAGGAACTCTACAAACGAGAATCACTGGGTGACCGTGCTACACACTTTCTCAAGTTTCACAGCTTACTGGAGCTGCCACACGTTCTTTCCGTACTTTGTCCTTTACTAAAATTTGCACATACAAATAAACTTTCATGAGTCACTTAATAATCCCAATATCCCGTTGTGTGGAATATAGAGTATCCTCTACATAAATTACTGACGTCTAAAAAACAACTGGACACATTACAATAAAGCTGGGAAAGATTGATGTTTCTGACACCAAAATTGTAATAAAAAGTAACACAGTGTAGGGCACGATCTTGGGTCCGCCCACCGACCAATTGTTTTTGCATCCACTTTCACACCCAATAACCTTGTCATTATTAAACTCGAGCCAAGACTAACTACACTTTCTGCTGGCTTCATTTGGCTGTGGAATTCTTCTCGCATTTGGGCCACTGTAGCGCATAAATGCTCCTGAAACTTCCCCAAGTTTATTTTTTGGCTCCTTCGCCTGCATTCAGCCTCTGTATTTAATTAACTAGACCGCAACAGACGCTATCAATATCTACCATTACAGGCGAGCTGGTGCAGTAACTCAGGCGTGGCATTGCGAGCTATCGTTAACCCTTTCACTATGTAGTAGTTCTGGTGGTGATGTACCCCTTGAGTGGTTTCCGGAACGTCACAAAAACTTGAAATTGTAAACAATGACATGCTGTGAAGTAAAGATGACAAATAAGAAAAAGGCACACAACCATTTCGTTTGCTGCTGATTGCAGCAGTGAAGCCTCAGCAAGCGAGCGAAAGCAGCGATCGAGTCATCTTTGGAGACGCAACGACTAGCGACATGATATGCCGTAGCAGCTACGCCAACAGAATACAGAGAGAAACCTCTTCGATCTCGCAGCAGATGGTAGAACAACCCTTGTAGCCAGTAATTGTACGTGCACCGCATGGTCGCTCAGCGCGAGAAAGTAACGTGCACGGAACGACACAACCCCCAACAAAGAAAGGGAACGGTTGCTCTGCGCTCTTCAATATATGTAGAAATACATAGAGGGGCGAAAATATGTGCTTCTAGAAAGCATCAACAGATGGCCTAACCAGCAAGAAACACTAAATCACGTCAGCTGTGCATTGCGACACAAATTTTCGGATGCACAATGGAGAACGTAATGGTAAGTCAGTGACAGTGAAAGGGTTAATTTCCAACATTTCTGGTTCTAATACTTTCTGGTGCACTTTTCTGGTGCAATTTTTTAAAGAGAAGCATTGCAGGCCTCCTCTTCAGTTGAAACTGGCTCACTGAGAAATTGTAAAAGGGTGATTTCATTAAGAGCTCTACTTAGTAATTACCAAATTAGTGTCCTATTCAAATACACTAAGCGAAAATTTATGCCATACAAATGTTCTGTCTTCTTACCGGTTGCAAGGCCTGGAGGGAGCAGCGCAGCTCCTGGAAAGTGGGCCGATCCCTGGCCTGCTGATGCCAGCACTGCTGCATGAGCCGATAGCTGCGAGAGTATCGGGACGGAGGTTAGCACCACAACAAAGTTTTTGCAACGTTGCATTCTAATTTGACAAACAGGCCAACTTCACAGTGCATTTCACTTTTATCACTGCCAGAGAGCTGTAGCTTACTGCAGTTCTTGATGCACTAATGAAAACTACAGCAGATGGAAGTACCTCTTCCCTTTAGGCATCACATTCTGTGTGGTAATTTTGATTGATACATACTATTCTCCCCAGCAAAAATAAACTATTAGTTTGAGCTCTCTGTACACCATCTATAGCAAAAAATGCCATTACCTCTTACAGCATGCTGTCGCCCTTTCGCGCCATATTGTATTCGAGGTTGCAAATCCAAGCGTCTCGCTTGAATTTGCAACCTCGAATCCAAGCGATTGACGATCGATTGATATGCGAGGTTTAACGTCCCAAAACCACCATATGATTATGACAGACGGCGCAGTGAAGGGCTCCGGAAATTTCAACCACCTAGGGTTCTTTAACGTGCACCCAAATGTGAGCACACGGGCCTTGCGAATCCAAGCGAGACGCTTGGACTTGCAATCTCAGATACAATTACAGTCACAATACAATTGCAACCTCAGATACAATTTACAATTTCGGATACGCCAGGAAAGGGAAATGAAGCATGAATATTTAACATCCGTTAAGATGACGTATGCCTGATAACGGACAAGCACGTTTTGTGGAAAAACCAAGATTAAGTAACCATGTTCTGACTGAAAATAACTTATGCATTGCACATTTTGTTTCTGACGAGGGAGACTGCTTAAAAAAAAAAAAAAAAAAAAAAAACTAGCGTGGCCATCTCCATTCACGTGCATCAACTGAAAGAGCAGTGTGTGCAGTATTGAATGTCTCGGAGACTGCTGTAACATGGTTGTTCACCTAGCATGTCTGAGCTCGTTTAGCACAAACACATGCAAACACAAAGGCACCATTTCATGCAAGAAAACCCCATTTTATCGTTTTAAAATTGAGTTTCAAAAACTCGACCTGCGGTAGTAAAAGGACGTTAAAGTAACTTGATTTTCTTAGCTCGCGTTCAAGCATTTATAACGGCAATACAAAGGCTTTTAATTAAGAAAATGACATCCAGGCCACATGAGCATCATGTGTTTTTGCTCTCCTGAATCCAACTGCAGTAGCCGCCGTGACGCATGTGCACTAAGCGAAGGTGATGGGCCAGGTGAGTGAGTGCCTTAGTAGTGAAACTTACAGGGGAATCGACACTCCTCGTGGTCTTTTCAACCTCAGGCCTCGTGTCACACGCTCAGGCACCTCTGACGTAGACAGATCTACGTAGGGACTTCCACCTGCATGACATATTTACAAGTTGACATTTGCCTGATGGAACAGTTCGTGTCGAAGATTTGTACAAATGTAGAAGTCGTGTCATATCTGGATAGTTATATGTTTTAAACAGAAGGACATAACAAGCTAATAAATGATAAAAAAACCTACTCGAATAAAGCGAGAACGGCAAGCTAGAAAACTTTTCGTTCTCTCACATTTACATGATGTGTAAGGATAAAGTCAACCAGCAAGGCTACAACCCATAATATATAGTTATGACAGTCATAATGACTATATTGTGCAGTCATCACGGTCGTCATAGTGACAACTTATCAGGTGTAGTCGTCAAGCATAGTAAATAAGTCCTTTTGGAAAACTTGACAGCACGAAGCTTTAATTTTAGTGCATCACTACGAAGGCAAAGCAAAAAAAAAATAACAGTGCTAATTTAAAGCACAGTATATACACTCAAACATTGATATAACTAACCTGGATATAACGAAATATCGGTAGTAATAAAGTAAATGAAAAATAGTCTTGCAATAAATATAGTGTCAAGAATAGACCTCTATATAATAAATTTTTGGATCTAACAGACTTTAATTTCGTGTCAGATGCAACTTTGTTATAATGACGTTTAAATGTTTAATCTAACCTTGACACAGTACGGATCCAAATGATAGTACAATGCCTTACTCAAAAGAACAAATAACATCGTGTGTACACCAATGCCGTGGCATTACTGAAAGTTGACTGCTCTATCATTCGACAAATTGTAGGGCTGGATTATCAAAGTCAAAGGTTACTTTCAAATGCACCAAGGAAGACTGCAGGCACCGTAACGTTTCCAAAGAACTCACCTAAGGTGAACGTTTCCCACATAAGCACTGCGAAGGACCACCTGCACAAAGTCATTCAGAATTAAACGTACAAATTAACAGGTGTGTGTGTGCACTTTTTGCATAAATTCCCAATCGTATTTACCACATCCATGACCATAATATCTAGTCAGTGATTACATGTTGTAAGTGAAAATTCGCAGATGTGATGCGATTGCATGTGTGATTATCACCGCGTGAGCTAGAGCTACGCATGCAGTTGTGCTATAGCAAAAATGACAAATAAAATGCCAATGCACAACAAAATGCATGGTGTGGTAGGCTTACACGAATAAATGTTTTTGCGTACTTATGTACAGTTCTTGTGTACTTCCATACAGTACTTAGTATCTTATATAGTAATTGTCTGTATTGTTTACTAGTAACTGTTTATACAAAACTGCAAGTCATTCTTGGGACGGACTAATCAATAGCCATTTAGGCATCAGTTCAAGTATTTCTGGGCCAGAACTTTCTATATGTTTAATGATATTCTCTGTTTGAAATGATTTATCCATTTATTTATTTATTTATTATTTGATTGATTGATACGACTGGTTCGCCAGCACTACCTTCCAAGTATGGAATAGAATAGTAACTACGCAGGTCACAGGATCGAATTTCGTCCACGGCATTTTCGATAGAGGCAAAAGTGCTCAGGGTGCATGTGCTTAGATTTAGGCTCATACCCCTGTCACATGGGCACTTAAAAGTCTTTTAAGTAAGCGGTCTTTTTCCGAAAAGGAGTTCCTGACAGCAGACACACGGCACAGAGCGAACTCATTTTCAGAAGCGGTCTTTTTCGTAAACGGCGTTCGTCGATCTCTTTTACGGCTCCGAATGAGTAGCCTCGAAACCAGTGGGCGCCAGCAATTTTCGAGTGGTGGGAAAAAAAGAGCGAATGCTTATTTTTCTGTCATCAAAACTCTTTGTAAAAACAAATTTCATATCCTGCAGAAGGTGTAACGAACTCTTTTAATGGTTATTTCCTTTTCTAGTCTCGTAAGCAGCTACAACGCGTCGGCAATATCACGTGGTGACGCTCGGTCTTGCGCTGCTTTATCCTCTCCTTGGCGGCTTTTGCAGCGTCTGCCTCGCTTTCCAGAGCGAGAAGGCAGGCCGGGAGGCTTGCGATCCTCGCTTTTTCTCCCGTACGGTCGCCCATAACGTGTCGAGAGTAGTCGAGAGCAGCGAAAAACAAATACGGTAAATAAAAGCACAGTGGTGCCCGACGGACTTGTGCACGACGCTAGTTATGGGAATGCTTCCTTATCTTGTGCAAAAAAGTTTCACATTGGTGTTTCTTCATCTTTTATTCTTAAATTTATTTGCAGAAACGAGCAGTGCAACAAGTCTTTAATTTGTACATCGTGATACATCGTTTAATTTTCATTGCTTCTCTTTTAACTGCTAGCGCCACGCTTTCGCTAGCGTCTTTGAACGAAAACACTAAAAGGAGATCGTTGCTGCCGTGTGTCTGCGCCGCAAACACCTCTTTGTTAAAAGTCTTTCAACTTCGTAAAAGACCGCTTACTTAAAAGACTTTTTGCGCGCCCGTGTGACACAGGTATCACATAAAAACTTTAGGTGGTTGAAATTTCTGAATCCCTTTACTTCGGCGTTCCTCATAATCATATAGCGGCTTTGGGACGTTAAATCCAAACAATTATTATTATTATTAACAGAGTAGCAAGTAAATGTTGCAGATGAAAAATTGCACATACACATCGCTCTTTTCTGTATGGTTTCCGTTCCGCAAGGTCTCGGGGGCTAACCAGCGAGTGAAGTCCAGTTTCTGCAAAACAAAGCGCTTCAGTTAGGACCCAACCCCTGCGCCACGGGTGGCGAGATCGTACTTTCCCCAGAGGGCTATACCGAGCCAGACCAAAATAGCTGATCTTGGGCACCAACGGTTCGACCATGGTTATGCTCCTGGTGGACAGCTGGCCATGCTGAACCTGCAAGCCACAACAAAATTTGGCTGTCTTCCTCAACAGTGAAGAGATTACACAAAAAAGAATGCTCCGCTGCACAGAACATATGGCACAATCACTGCAAAGCAGGAAGCCTAGAGCTTGTTGCAAACTCCCTTGGGGCAACTATTTCGAGTCTAGTTGCAAGGCACCCATGATGCCACGAAACATCACAACAATGCGAAGTAAAGAATCACTCATAGTGCCATTATCCATCATTCTGCAGAGAAGTGAAGCACTACCTGCTAAACATCTTTGAAGGGGCCCTCCAACACTATTCCAACACCATATTTTACCCATGAGTTACTTAGACTGAAGTACAGACAGATTGATGCAGCAAGAACGGCAGCGATGATGGCACGCAGTCTGAAGTTATCCGATTGAAAAAAAATTTGAAGTACAAGAAAAAGAAATGCCTACCCTCAACTTCATTGTGCAGGGTCACCTGACCATACTTCACTCGCCCTGACTAGTCAGTGGTGTTGGATGGCTCCCCCAATGAAATCACTTGAAAGCTCCTACGTAGGGGAAGCTCGCATACTATTGTTTGTCTTTTCCAATGTATTGTAGACCTTGTTGCCATAGTAAAGAATGCAGTGGCTAATGCCTGACTCCACAGAATGTAAGCGGGCGCTACTGTTTCGAAGAAAGGTATTTTCTGCAGTTCTTTACAACATCCCATATCACCCCTTCCACTCTTTCTGAGAAGGGAACTTGTGGAACGACTAGGGGGGTTAAGTACTGTTCACCCTTTGTGAGTTGTTCGGCGAGGCATACACAAACTACAAGGGTGCAGTGACATCAATTCAATGAAGGGGATTGCTTGCACTCTTTCAACGACAATCAAGAGCCTACTGGACATGCTGAAAAAGGCAGCTCGCTATCGCACAGAAGCCAGAATAGGGAAGAGAGATTTCCTTTCATATGGACCTCTCTCTTTCGCAAGCAAAAAATCTAGAAGCGAAATGGTAGCCAGTGCCTTTGTTGTACATTGTAGTCGTAGTGAAATTTAGTTGCGGCCACGTCTGTGTGGGGTTGAATGAAAAAGCGCAGATAAGAAAAACGAAACAACAGTAATATCAGTCTTTAACCTTTCCACAACCGCTGCTAACGTTGCATTTATCTAATCATAGGCTTGTCCCTCATTGGGATGCACATCAGCGTTTGGACGCACGTTTTGAAGGCCGTGCACGAACTCTTATCACGTTAGCCTTTAATTAGGTTTAATGGGGCCATCCTCCTGACGTACCTGGATTGTCGTTGCACATTCCCTGCGTCGTTCTCAAGCACATGAACTCGTTCATACGCAAGCTCAGACTCAGTTTAAGTGCCCTGTTAATGTACATTTCATCCACTTTCTTCATCTTTACACAGCAAATGTGCTGGCGCGTTAGTGCGTCGACATGGACAAGAGCGCTCACTTCAGCAGTACGCCTCTTCAGTATACCGACTGAGTGACTTTGTTTAAGAGTTGAAAGCAACCAGAGTAATCATGCTTTTTAGTAGTTCCCACTAAGAACAAAACAAGGGGCTCATACACATTACGATGCAATAATGAAAAAAATAAATGTTCGTACCCCTCTGGACGACAAATGGTGCATGCCTGCCGCCAATGAGACTAGGAGGTCAACCAGGCGCTCCTCAGGGATTGCTGACACTCGGCCTTCTGCACTGTGGCGGCTGGTCAGCAAGAGGCCACGCAGTGAACTCGAAGGCTGCTCCATGGCTAACTGAAGCAGTTCTGTTGGCAACGGCAAGAAGCATACGTTGCAACGTGTCTGCACTGTAAGTGTCTGTAACACTGGTGCTTTAGTCTAGATTATATGTCTGAAACGGATGGCCCACGAACCTTTCTCTAGCGGACCTGGCCCACACCTCACTGTCTTCAGCCAGTATTCAACGGGCACTGACAAATTTTGGCCTTGCGCTGTTTTGCTGCACTGTGTTGCTGGGGGCCTGTTAGTCGTAACACGGCACAGCATTTGCTGTCACACATGACGGATAATTAATCTTTAATCGCGATTAGGACCCCAAGTGGTATCAAGGCAATCACGATCAGTGCCTCAGGATATGGCTCCCAGATTGCGATTTGACAGATGTCTGTGCCAAGTGCATTACGGATTAGGTTAGACCCCATAGTAGTGCCCATTGGTGATCCCGATCAATAAATCTGATCTCCATTGACACTTATCACAATCAAAGGTGCTTGTGAGACACTGGTATAAGACGCCATGATGAAGCTGCTGTAGCTGCGACTGTTGAGTAGCCATCAGTGATGAGACTAGACTGCCCAACAGTACTCTTCCCTCGAACTAGGTAAGAGCGCAATTTTGACCAAAAGTGGCCTGATTCTAGAGAAAATAGGTACTTGCACATGAATAATTCCGCACTATACAATGGATGTGACCAAATATTCACAACTGCGAGAACAAGTGCCTTGCTTTGGCTTTGCATTAGTACAAGTACACTGGTTCGTACAAATCTACAGCGCAAGTCAATGCAAAAGTTTGACACATGAATGTAAACTCCAACACACGTACCAGGCTCATCTTCGCAAGCGCCCATGAACTGAACTACATTGGGGTGACTGCCGAGGCGAAGCATGCCCTCAATGTCTGCCAGGAGACTTCTGCGCTCATGGTCCGGGAGTGTCCACTCAGCTGCGGTTAAAAACGAGCAATGAGTAAGTAACTGCACGGTTCTGGCTGCCTTCAGTTTGATGTCATGCTAAATTAGAAATTTACTGGCTATTGCAAGCAGTAATTAGAAATAATTAGCAGTGTGTAAATATTTAGACTTCCAAATTTCAAATACTCTTTGAATAATGTTTGCTATTCAATTCAATTAACAGGGGAATTTTACTATTCCAAGTATTTGAACTTCTGAAAAAATATAAGTGTTTATATTAACAAAAAAATAAATAAATTGGCATGCAGCATGCTTGGTCTTGCATTTTGGGGCTCCAATGGGCGACATTGCTAGCCGATTCCACAGCTGCTTTGAGCGATCACACTGCAATACGCAGAGTGACGAGCCATGGCGAGGGGGGGGGGGGGCAGTATTATGTCAATGCCTAAAATGTCCATTTTGAGCAGCTAGTGGGCGATGCAATTTGTTGCTTACAAATTGCAGAAAATGCTGGTTCCAACAGAGAGAAGCACTGCACCGTTAAAATGGCCCCTTCACCTTTTTAATATGCTTCACCGCATTACATTCTGATATTGCAGCAAAGCTACCTTTAGGACTACTATACGGTCGTGATCGGGTTGACTCGCCGAAGCGACAGTTCGACCCTACCCCGCAGAGGTAGGGGGCTTTAATTAGTATCCTTTCAGACCAAAAAGCGTCTCTCATAATCAAATGGTGGTTTTGGGACGTTAAACCCCACAAATCAATCAATCAGACCAAAAAGTCCGCGAAATTCGGAGAAAGGTTTTCAACATCCGAAATTTCAGGTGTTTTTATAGATTGGCATCTACAGGGCAGATAGCAATTCCGAAATCGAAAGGAGCACGACCTTGTCCAACAAATCAGTAAAGCATCCACAGAAGTTGAGAGAGAGAGAGAGGGTCGCGGCTTTTCCTTTCACGTGTAAAGTATAGTCGACACCACCTTGGTTGCACCAATTAATGTAAATGAATACAATCCGGTCTTTACATTGCCTCACCCTTGATAAAACAACTAGGGGACACCTTCCCTTTAGAACTTCATCAATCTAATCAAAAGAAACACTTCCACATTCGCATCTCATAATGTGTGTAGGAATCCTCTGCAACCTTTTCTTTTTTGTAATATCACTTACAATTATTTGAAAAATAATGAATACTGGACAACTATCAGAAGACTGTTCAAATTCGCTTTGTACCCAAGATTTTGCCATTTGCATAGATCTAAAAAGAAGAGCTAGCGAGGGGAAATAGAGAAAGAAAAACGAAAAAAAAAAAAATAGGCAGGAAGATATAAAGAGCAGAAAAGAGAAAAAACCAGATAAAGAGTGAAGAAGAAATTATCAGAAATAGAAAGACAGGAAAAAATGGTAAAGGAGAAAAAGAAATAATGAGAAAACTGAAGTGAAACAAAGAAGGCTGCGCAGCTGTGCACTTCCTTCGGGCTTGGTGCTTCCAGTGCGAAGTTGTCTTAATTTTTTTATATATAGACAGTGCCCACGCACAATCATTCTTTGGTGGCGTTTAACTCAGCGCTTCACAGAAAATTAGTTGCGTGTGACTTTTTAAAACGGCCAGGCCTGCGCGTAACGTGCAGCACAGTTATAGCGAAAGTTGTAAGAGCGGCCTTTCAGAACCCTTTTTAAACACTTTTCGGATAACCGTTACAAGCACACTTGCAGGGTACCCACTACGTTATAAATAATCATAGTTTTTGTGTAATAGGCAGTCATTCACTGTGCCATCCTTCATCATTCTTCGGAGATGCGTGGTTTGCGCCAGACGCTTGGAAGGAATTTTGTGCAATTTTTTCACGCTGTGGCTGGTGACGACGAAAAATTATGCCGGAAGCTTTTGCAATGAGGTTGGAGCATTTGATGACCCAAAACTCAATTTGCATAGTGTGATGTTCCTTTGCTGTTCTCACAACACTTTATTACTCATACTAACGCGATTCCTTTCCCGACATCAAACCTGCCTAAGGCCAATTTTCCATGGAGTTTCAAGCACCGGCGTGGCTAAGTGGTAGAATACTGGGCTGGCATGCAGGGGACCCGGGTTCGAATCCCATTGTGTTCTTAATGTTTTTTATTTTACCGAGTTTTTTTCTTATTTCGTGCGATAGTGGTCATGGACACCTGCGGCAGCGGGCAACTATGATGCACAGGACTCTTGTTGTGATCTCACAACAGCTTTCGCTGTAAAAAAAAGTATCTCACACTACAGCATTGGCTTAATTAAGATCTCACAGCCTAGATAGGGCATGGTCAGGGCCGTCTTTGTTGAGAACTTCGAAGACTACTCGCATGTGACTACTCCCAGGAGGGCCTCCGTGCTTATATTTCTTTATAAGCGAGAAAGATCAACATCACATTCTTTAACAACCCAAGAACTGAACTTAGGAACAGGACTTTTGTCCCGTTAAACGTGATGATACCAGGCCGTGAAATCCCTCTACAGTGTTTGTCTACGAAGACATACAATTATCCCACATTCATTGCTAGACAGGTTGCTTCATTGTTCATGACAGCTCATATTCGAGGTTTCGTTCACATTTACTGCTACCCAAATAGCCCAAGACAAGTTGTGCCTTTAGAAACATGTTTAGTTAGCACGAGTATAATTGCAACTTCACCTGGACAGCGTTGCACGCTCACTGGCACTTTTCGGCTGTCATCCGTGACAAGGTGGCCCGCTCGAACCGGACCGAACCGGCCCTGGCCAAGCATGGTGTCTGAAAGCAGCAGTCGCGACTGAGGCACCATGGGCAGCATGGAGCGCAGCTGGTTGTAGAATGCCCCCAGGTCGGCTCCCTCGCCCAGTTGCAATGAACCCGCACTGAAGGGAGTGACATCATCCTGGAAGAGAGGGTCCATCTGAAAGGGCAACCTGCTTTCACAAGCCGCTAGACGAAAATGTTGTTTAAATAAGGGAATCAATCAAAAGTCTCGCTTTTGTCGAACGCAACTGTATGAAGCAAACAGATAATGCAACTGAGATAAGCATACGGGAGCATTGTTTGTAGTGTTCAATTGAAATTTAGTAATTACATGATGAAGAGAAATGAAACTGGACAAAAACACAACATGTCACAGGTGGGGCCGCAAACCCACAACCTTCGCACAAACCGTGCAGTACACTAACACCTCTACTATCAGTGTGACTGAGTCCCTCTATCCACTTTCGTGGGTATGTATTTATATGCACATAACTTGTACCCTGAGCATGTTTGCCAGTGCCACTCATATCCACGAAGGGGAATGCAGTACATACAGAATGAATAATTCCACCGATAGTAATGAGCTGCAGAGCAAAAAAAAAAAAAAAAAAACAAGAGAAGGGAAAAAAAGAAAAAAAGGCGGGAATCGTTTTGTGAATGTGATGCTTCCACTTTGCATTGAGGGGACAATAACCAAGGAGGAGAGCACCAGCTTTGGCAATGAAGCTTGTTTAACGCAGGCATTTTTAGCGGGACATTTAGATTTATTCCAATTGCACAACAATGAACTGGTTTGAACAGTTATTTCAGTACCTCTTTAAAAACTGCACCTTTCTCATGTGCAATGAAAATCGCAACCCACTTGAAACAAAAATCAGCAATTGGGCTTGTCAGAAGGGCCCGGTGAAGGTGTCTGAGAAGGACAAAAGCGAAGGATGCTTCTATGCAATAACTTCCAAGTGCAGAGCAGCATGTTAATTCTGAGCACTGACCAGGTCCAGGCTTGGGTGCGAGCGCAGCATCAGCTCCTCGGTGCGCCGCCTGCGGCGACTGTAGTGGCGCCGGGCAAAGACGTAAGCCGCGATGAATGCCAGCAGGAGACAGGCGCCCAGGGCCGTAGCAGCAGAGAGCCACGAGGACAGCACTTGTGACCGCTCGTCCATTACAATAACTGGAACGAGATGTATTGGCAAAAACTCCAGCGGACTATGTTTCCGTAACTTACGCTTGCAACAAATGGCAGAAAGGGTGAAACTCAGCCACTGAGGAAATAATTAATGTAATTACCAGGCTTTTCATGTCAAAATTACATTATCAACATGAGGCTTGCTGTAGTGTGGGACTACAGAATAATTCTGACCACCTGGGGTTAGTATTGCAACTTATTCGATGTGCACCTAAATCAGAACGCACAAGTGTTCTAGCACTTTGCCCTCCTTCAAATGTGGCCACTGTGGTCAGCAATGAAGATCACATCCTCGAGTCCTACACCACAACCTTAGCTGCTAGGCCATTATGGCAGGTTTACATTTAATAAGATTGAGTAGACAAACACTTTTATAGCTGCTTGTGTTGATATTGCGGCACTTACTGGGTGGCTGTATCCGTTCCGTGCTTGGGCTCTCCACAGAGTATGCGTACTTGGTTATCTACAAACAAGGAAGGGTACCATTACTCAACCTATCATCACTGCAGAATGAAAACAACCTTTCAGTACTACATATGGAAGATTCAACGTGCAACTCGAAAACCTGAATTAAATCAACAGAAAAGAAACAGAACAAAATGTATGTCAGTACTGAATGTCACAATGGCACTGCTTTCCCTTTTGAAGACACCATCAGTTCCTGATTTCCGCAACTGCGTGCTTCGGTGGAGCCCCGCATGCTGTCAGCATAAAACACGCTACGCAATGAGACATGTCTTGATTGTGCACTACAATAGTAATACCTAATACACTTTGTAGGGCTCGAAATTCAGAGCTTACCCCATTGAGTGAGCTGGCAACGCCCTGAATTGGAAGGTAGTCCTCGCTAGGCGACAGCGGGGCGTTGAGAAATCCACCGTAGGAACGGCCATCGCCGAACACAAAAGTCTTGTTTTCCCACTCGGGTCCCAGTTCAGCTGCCACATAGAATGGCGTGCCAGCCTCGGCAGCCTCTCGATGCCCTGCCAGCCGCTCTGGGCTAAATGCCATGAGGCTGCTTCGTTCAAATGCAATCATTCGATAACCCCTGCAAAAATGACAGAATATTTAAATCAGTGCTTCTTCTTTTACCTAGAATTTGGGCTTTCGTGTTTTCTTGCCCTGTGTTTCAAGTATATGTTTCTAAACTACACTCAAACCTCATTAAAATGGAGTTGCATCTTACATGAAATTAAGTTTGTTATATCTGAAAATTCGTTATAAAGGTACATTCCTAGCACGTATGTTTATTGCAAGAGTACTCTTCATTTACTTCATATAAACCGACATTGTTAAATCGGCTTCATTGTGTTGGGGTTTGAGTGTATACAGAATTCTTGAATTGTCGGTGACAGTTGACCGTAGTCCTCCAGCTTAACTGCATCAAGAGGCAGACATTACTCACACGAAAGATACAACCAGCGTGTCATCACTGTGGTGAAATGAGTTATATAATTAAAATACTAGTACCTATAGCAGAAATAAAATAAAACAGGTAAAAAGCCGAGTACCACATTTTAGAAGTTGACCGCAGTTCCAAATAACTGTTGCCAAATAAGCAGTAGATAATACGTATGAGATAAAAGAAATCCTGCTCATTTTTACCACACTAGTCTGCATGTCTAGCTGAGAAAAAAAAACAGCCAAGTGAGCTATATGCCTAAATGCCACTTCTTGTCGCACAAATGAGATCGGATGCAACACATCAGTAACACTCTGGGATGATAGTACACAAATTATCTTCCGTTTATTCTGGACTCATGACTCGGTCAACCAGTAAAAGTTCGTCATTCTCATTCTCTTAGTGTCATTGCGAAGTAAGTTTGGAGCAGTTACTAATAAAAATAACTGTTTGGAGCAGAGTGGAGCAGCATTTCTCTTTTGGAGCAGCACCTCCATCACTGACACTGGTAGCAAACTTACGTGATAGGACCTTTAGAACTTGTTCCTGGTGATAGCTGCACGACCATCTGGGTGTCATTACGCGACAGAACTTGCACAGTTGGTGGCAGGTCTGGCTCTGCGGGATGTAATGGCAAGGGGGGGGGGGGGGGGGCGGTTGTTTTTGGATAAAGATTCACTCAAATTGCCAGCTTGCAGTATGTAAGTCATCAATGGCTACTTGTTGTAAAAGCAATAGATTCTGATTTCAATGACAGTTGTGTGGGCTGACATTCATTGCATTTCAATGGAGTACATAGCAGTTCTTTTTCATAGCATATCATAGCAAGCTAACTAATTATAATTTGGTGTATATTTACTAGGTTTAAGAGAATAATTCAAAGTTCCTTGCATCGCAGCTTTTGTATGTTTCGTTAATTCAAAAACCAACTTAATTCAAAGATTTTTCACAGGCCCAGTGATTTCGAATTAACTAAGTTTTACTGTATTTAGTAGTACTGCAAAATAGAATGTATAGTACATGCGGTGGTGTACTGACAAATATTCATTTGCCACAATTTTGTAGAAAACAGTTGCGAAGTGGATTGGTAAACGATAACTATGTAGCTATTTAGGACTCTAAAAGGCAACAGCTGTTTGTCCAGCAATTAATGAAGAGCCGACAAGGGAATTCAAGTGCCCCATGAGCAAATAACTTTCTGGTTTGTGATGAAGCCACTTCTTTACTGGCACCATGACTCACTGCAAGCAAGGACAGCAGCACATTTTTTTTTTTCGCAACATACATGACACTGCGCATCTTACCATCATCACTGTTACTAGGGGAATATTTCTGTGCTTTTTGGCTTGACATCTCTCTGCCCTGTTCATGTCAATCAAGCATATTAAGTTTAAAAAAAAATCACTATGGTATAGTTACTTCAAGTAAAAATAAGAAACCTAGGTTTATCTATGACTAGCTATTTTGAAGAAGAAAATGTATAGAAGAAAATATAAAAATAATACAGAGATTAAATAGGCCCGCCGCGGATGTCAAGTGTAAGGTACTCGACTGTTGACCTGCAGGTCGCGGGATCGAATCCCGGCTGCGGCGGCTGCATTTCCGATGGAGGCGGAAATGTTGTAGGCCCGTGTGCTCAGATTTGGGAGCAAGTTAAAGAACCCCAGGTGGTAGAAATGTCCGGAGCCCTCCACTGCGGTGTCTCTCATAATCATATGGTGGTTTTGTGACGTTAAGCACCACATATCATCAAAGGATAAACACTACAAGCAAGAATAGTGTCGTCGCAGGCATGGGTTCTGGAAGTACAACCTAGTTAAATGAAGCGACATTGTCAAATTGTCGGAATCACGCACACAACTCAGGCAGCATAGAACAAATACTCCAAGTCTAGACCAGTCTATAACGACTAAATATGTGAAAAAAAAAAAAAAAAAAACAAGACACTAACCTCCAACCTCCGTCCAAACCACAATCGAAGTGGTCTCACTAGGTCCTTCGGACGTGTCGGCCCACACACTCACGTTATACAGGGTGCCAGGATGGAGGCCCAAGAGGCCCGCCTGGCGAGCACTCGTGTACTTCCACTCTTGGCTCGGACCCAATATTGGGCTGTACGTTTGAATGGGGCTCGCACGAACCTGCAATTGCAACATCTCTCCAGTAGGACTGAAAAGCTCGAATTGATGACATGACGTTATCCCCCACCACAGTATACAATGTACAATCACAAGAGTCAGTATCCCAAGCAGGACAATCTAAAAGCGATATCCACATGCAAGACTGCGAAACTCATTTGAGGACATTGCCATCCCACTGCTCGAAATAAAACATGCATGTAAACACTACTATGCTACTTATGTAGAAAAATTAGAAAATGCAATTTATTTTAGCCTTCTAGGTCACTGGAGTCACATTTCGTTCCATTCTTAATCAACAGTGCGGTGCTGATGGAGCGTAGTGGAAGATTGGATGTTTAGCCAGGCGATTCATTGCTCACTAGATCAAGGTATTCTGCTGTGCCACTTATGATTTGACATTGTGGTCATAATAAGATGAACATAAACTAGACTTTCTTTTATCACTCGGGAAATACCACGCAACAACATACTTTGTGTTTTCAGTGTGCAATTAGTTGTGGTGTTTTCGACGCAATAGCACTGGAACTAACACGATAGTGCTTGTGTTTATAGAGGTGGTTATTATGCCAGGTGTTAGACATTACAAGTGTTCCCAGTGCGCCCACCATGCCGGACACAATTAACTGGGGTAAGCAGCCTGGCAACTGAGATGCACTCACCTTCTTGTTGCATGATATGTACTCTTAGGCTGACGAATGAGTGGCATATTCAGGCAGATTGATCAATATTGAGCACTATTCCGCAGGAGTGAGGATACAAGATTTAAAACGTCACATACGCATGGTATAAGAGCCAGAGTAGGTACTAGTTGGTTGTGCATAGTCGACACTATGCACAGCTGTTCCATATGGACACAGTTGATGGCATGACGTGGACGGCTCTCGTCTTGTGCACACTGCACATGCTACTAGTGCCTTTCTTTTCTGTCACCTCGTATATATCTCTTGGGGAAGATGGAAGCCTAAACAGATGAAGAACTCGTGAACACGGGGTTTCTCTGGAGCTGGCATTTCGCAAAGAAGACTTTTCTTGAGTTGCGTTATTTTTCAACAAATAAATAGTCATTAGTTCTCACTTGTCTTGCGCACTACATGCATCTCAATGCACCTTTCTTTTGTGTTCGAGCAGCATGTCGCGAATGTCAACTACGTGCGTGGTTTTGCTGTTCTACTAAAAAAATGTGCGTGAGCTTTTACAAATGAGGATCGAAATTCACGCAGTTTCCCTCGAAACCGTGACCTTTTTGACACATAAGTAGAACACTCACCGTGTACATATTGACATTCGTGGAGGCCACGGGAGTCCACTTGATGTCCAGTGTGGTCTCTGTCGAGTTCTCCAACGAGACGATACGAGGACCCCTGAGGGAGCTGCAGGCTGCACGATGCAAAAGACACAGTCACTGAGGAGTAGGCTAGCGAATTGATATTTATACGAAATGCACAAATGCTCTTAGCCTGCAACTAAATGTGTGACCAGTATGAGGAAAAATTAGGTACTTTTAAAACTGAATGAACTACATTCACTGCCGAGTGTTTTGTACATTCATGCGCACTGTGTGCTGTGTTGTCCTTGGAAGGAGATTCAAGCTTGATTTCTGTAAAAGTAATGAATATTTTGAAAGACAAAAATAATTGTTCTTTATTTACATAGTACTAAATACTGTATAACCTTCCACGATGTAATATCTAATCAAACAAAAAAGCAAGAACGTGGTTTAAAGGCACTGATCAGCAGTATCGTTCGACATCACTGCAAATATTGTAATATGCACTTTTCTATCTCTTTGATACGCTTGCGATATCCACGATACAATTCAAGTTGGCGATTTAATTTGGGTTAATTTGCAAGACGCTAAGCAAACGACTATAACAGGTCATGTCATAGTTAAGAGTTTTAACGCAGCGTACAGCTCTCAACATCACTCTAAATTTGCATGGTCCTCTTGCAGCTGTCGCTGTGTAAGTCTTTATATCCCGTTCGAGTGCGACACAACACGTGAGCTTCCTCATGCCACCCGTCACATGAAAACAAAATATGCCATCAAATGTTAGTTCAGTATACTCGGAATGAATGTCGTGAACAGTACATTGGAGTTACACATTCGCAAATGATACAACACCAGACAGGGAGTCAGTGAAAGTTCTTGTTACAACGTAACCTAGGTATCGCAAAGATTGCACGTGGATACCCGTGTGATGTCTCGAGGTATTGAGATGGCGCTCTCTGTTTTCTCGCACCTCTATACAGAACTGCTTGGGGAAGTACTGCAGTTGGGCATACTCACCCGGGAGCCACGTGAGAAAAAGCCAAAGCCAATGTCGCTCCATGTCTGCGTGCTTCTGCAATCAACCGGGAAGGGCTGTACAAAAAAAAGTTTAGTTATGTCAAAAAGAAAGGCATTGCTTCTTTCCTCGCTTGTGGATTTGGGTGTGGCTTTATTGGTTCTCGCACCTAATGTGCTTTCTCACATAGGTGCAAATATTGTGGGCAAGCTTTAGAACAAGGACTATTTATTATGATAATGAAAAAAAAAACATATTAGGGTTATAACGTGACCATTTTGAACCTATGCCATGAAGCCCAAATAACTCCAATTTCGTTTTTCTGTTTTAATAGGAGGCAATATATCCAGAAACATGAGCTTACATGCTCACGTAAATTCTGTTAATAAAATTCAGAATAACATAACAGAATAAAATTCTGTTAACCATTATTCACCCAGAAAGCACCTACCGAGTCAACTGCGTTGAAATTTGATGTCATTGAGGATTACATGATTCCAAAGTATGGTAAAAGCTCTTAATCCGAACTTGAAGCTGACTCTAAAAAACGTTCACATTAAGCGGAGTTCAAATTAGCCGGCAGGCACTACAATGAACAGACGTCATGCCACACTGTGCGGAGAGGACCCAAATAAGCCACCGCTGGACTCATTCCTGCAAATTAGGCGATACTACTACACATTTGTAGCAGGTCATTCTTAAAATTAAGTTCATGCTCAAAGAGGGAGCAGAATTTATCGATCAGTCAGTGATACACCAGAAACAAGTGGTGACTTGCATTCACGTGAGCTGTGAACCTTAACGTCAAAATACACGAAGCTCTTTGTGCTCCGAAACATGCCGATTTACATGGCAGAATTAACGCACTCAAAATTTAAAGCCTTTTTTATTAGTTTATTTAGAACAATACCGAAATTGTCCAAGGGGCCACAGCTAAGGGCAAACATCGCCTGATAAGGGAAACATCGCCATCATACAGCAGTAGCAGCAGACAGATGACATTTACAAACATAAAAGCATGCATAGAAATCAATCCCTACACTTCTTTTACACAGCTGAAAGAGAGTAGTAACTTGGGTGATCATCCTGGTCCTATTTCTCGGAAAAGGGAAGAAAGCCAGGGAGGTACGACTTCAAATTAACTGTTGTAGGTACTGACACATTCGAATTATTGAGCCCCCCCACCCTCCTCCCAGGAATACATAGGGTTGTGCTGCTTCAATGGCATCAGTTCGAATTACTTGTGAGTTCGAGTTAACCACCCTTTACTGCATGTTTTTGGGGACTGTGAGAGCTACGGGTGTATTAGATGCAAAACAAATGTGTCAGAACATGAAATGATCATCAAGCATTCCACTGACATCTCTTCCTATACAAGTACGAGCACTGCACTGATGCTCTACTGCACCTCCACTTAGAGGTGCATAAAGGTGTAGTACAAAACCAGAGGAAAAACAAACCAAGGTATACCAATGAGCAGATCAGCAATTCTAGAAGATTGTTTTTATGAAGTAAAAATAGACAAGTGAAAAATTTGCATAACAAGGAGTTTATGTGTCATAATTTTTGGGGGACTGAGAAATATTTGAAATCTAAACCATTATTCACTGCCAAAATTGATGGGCCACCATATCAAGCCCCAATATGGCCAAGAATCGTGGTACATTTTTGCCTTCCTTTTCTTCTGTGACATCTGCTGATGTGGGCCTACACTTTTCTGAACCTTTTAACGAGCAGTTATATTGAAATGTGCATTGTGCACATGACTACACCTTCATCGCAAATATTGCTGTTTGATTTCCACGTATCAAATTTATTTATTTCACTATAATTGCTGTACAAACCATGGTAGGCGACAAATTCTAGCGCACAGTGGTTCATTCCTGGTAGCATTATTTTGTGTAAAGGATATGAAGTGAATAATACCCCTGACTTTGCTCTTCACTGGCCTGTGAAATGAACACTAACAATTTTTAAAGTGTGGATTTATGAGGGATGTGGTTAGTAGCCTCATAAAATGTAAGTTAAGCTTCTGCATCGAGCTCGGATTACTGACAGTGGTGCACGATACATCAGCACTGGCCATTTATATAGTTGACTACAGAGTTTTTGCACATCTTTCTGTATTTTAGCAATCATGAGGTAAATCAGAACGTGAGGAGCAAGAAGTGCTCATCTGCTGCTGATGAAAAAAGCAGGCTTCGGGGGCTTTACATTCCAAAACGCTGACGAGATCATGGGGACACCATAGTGGAAGGCTTCAATTCGCTTTAATCTGGTGTTCTTTATTGTGCACCCAAATCTAAGTTTGCCTTAGCTGAAATTCGATACTGTGACTTTAGGGTGTGATCAAGCGCCGTTACCAATAGACCACCGTGGCAAGTAGCAGGCAAGCTGGAAACTGTTCCCGCCTGGCAGCCATAAGGAAGCACTGGGAAACGTAAAAACGTGTCTCTCAATTGGTCCTTGCAAAGCCACCATGTATAGCGCACAATCAAGAGCATCATATTATCTTGTGAATACTTGGTGAGGTTGACTCGCTCCATTCAGAATGCTATATTTAGATACCTTTTTTTTTCTCTCTCCTTTTCTTTTTCCTGTTGTGATTCACTGTAAGCCTTTTCTTTAATTCGTAGAAGTGCATAGGCCTCTTTTCAAACAATGCTTGTGCACGCCACATATTTTAAAAAACTTTATGTATATTTTTACCTCTTGCATTTCCAGCTTTCTTTGAAGTATCAATGTCTGATTGTGCAATGACTGAGTTTATTATCGTTGGGTTTTTTTCCACTGATTCACTTACATGCCTTAATTATTTCTGTAGGTGACTAGATACTTTGGCATATATATAGACAAACAAATAATATAGAAATTTAATAAATGGTCCTCGTCATATTATCAAAACTACATGTTAACAAATAAAAGCTGCTTGAACTTGGGAAGGAGGCGACAAAATTATCCTTGTTTTGCAGTTAACCGACCATATAGCTGGGCGTGTCCAACACCTGGCATTTTCCTGCACCTCCACGTTTTCCACTTCGGCCGCGACCGAGCGTAAGCGCCGTAAGCCGAACCGAGTAAATTTATGAGCAACGCTTTGTTCTGGGTTTGCAATGGGGCCAACGTGCCGCGCGCCCCGTCGCGTCCTGGCGTACGCGCTGGCCGTCGACGAAGTGCCATGACACGCTGTAAGGAGTGGATCGACTCGACAACATTGTACCGCTTCCTCTCGAGTCACGATCTCGGACGGTGCCGCAAGGCGTTATGCTTATGAGCTACGTTTGCAAGCGCTAGCTGCGACCCAGACAGATATCTCATCAGCGAGATGCGTCACACGTTTAGCGTCATCGCCCGTAAGCTCGAAACTGTTGTGCAAGGTTAACGTTAAGTGGGTAGTTTACAAGTTAACCAGAAGCTAGTTAACGAGTTCGCGGCGGCACATTGTGCACGATCGCTCGGCTCACGTGCGCCTCTGGACACGGGCCAGCAGTTTCGTTTCTTCAGAATTACTCGTAGAGTGACGCCGAAAACAATGCGTCGGAGGCCGGACATTTCTTGCCGGTTTATCCGTGATTAACGCGGAGGCGAGCGATCGCACCATGTTTCTCGTCGCGATTGGCGGGCGCCGGACAGTTCTAAAAATACGCGCTGCACGCTTTGAAGCGGAACGACGTACGCGTCACTCTACGTTACGTGCTCGGCAAACCGATCCGAAAGATGATCCGTGGAGGAAATTCGGGGATAATCTATCCGTCCTCGTTTCCGCAGCTATGCCGGCCTGATCGGCAGGGAGCCGAATTTCACGTGGAGATCGCGCCGCTGGCTAAAGCGAGCAGCCGATCCGCGACAACCTCGTCGATGACAACAACGTGCTGAATCCCTAGAATCTACGCGATCGTGCGACAATGGGTTGAAGTCGAGAGGTGTGCGGAGGAGTACTTACAAAAAGATCACGACCTGTAATCCATACGTCGTTGACAAAGGTGCCAGCGGTCGAAAGAGCGATCGTTGCAGGAGGCGCACGCACTCGATCGCTCTCCGTCACGAGCGAAACAAAAGAGCGGAGAGACCTTTTTTTTCTTCGCGGCGCGCTGGGTCTTCGAGCGGCGGCAGGTGACGCGCACGAACTGGCGGGACGGGACTTCGAAGGGATCGGGTAACGGGCACGTGCGGGCCGGATTTTCACATGGCCTCGGTGTTCATCGCGCACGGCTCAGATCGGAGCGCTTCGAATACTGCCCGGTTTCGCCGCCATGTTGCATGGGTGGCGTCCCACTCCGCGCGGCGCGTAAACGTTCACGAAACCAGAAACAAAACCGGTCAGACAGGCGCGAAACGCCTCTCGCGCAAACAGGAACGGAAAGGAGCGGTACTACACGCCAGGTATTTCATCGAAGGGCACCGGAAGCAAGCTGCCAGCACGTGTTTTTGAACCTAGTCCAAAGTGTATGATTGGTTTCATTTTTTTTTTTTTTCAAGCTAGCTCTCCGTGCGGGCATAGGTGCGGGCCGCTGAACTCAAGGTAGAAGTAAATGCAGCGGCGTACGCCGTCATATGGAATGACTGCACGTGCACTCAGTGTGTGTAAACACTGTCAAAAGGGAGATCGTACATTATTTTTTATGAGAGGGTGCGCGGCACGGATTGAAGTGCTTGTACACAACGGCTTTAAAAGTGTAAAGCGTCAGCTTGTGCGATTCGTTGTAGTTATTTTATGACCGAAAAAATTAGTTATTCTCATATGAGCGCGTTATCTTAAAATACATGTACCTCTTATGCTTCAGTTGGCTGCAGTGAAGAGTTGGCCTTCAGACGTCTGCATTATTTTGCGTACAACAAACTTGATTTACCGCAAAGTATTTTAATAACAACAGACGCATGACCTTTTGCATCTCCTTCGGCAAGCTGATACGTGTGAAGCCCAATGGCACATATATTTCGTGAAGGTGTCGTAAAAACCTCAGTCAACCGCACAGCGCGAATGCCTGTTAATACACTTTCAGCCTGCACCCAACTCTGCCGTCTCGGAGTTGAAACAACCGCATTCAGCGTCGTACCGATTTCGTTACGGAGATATCTTGCGCACACGAAAGCGCCGCACGCAACCGAAACCGAAACTACACGTACGATACCGTCGTGAGGTAACAGCACTGTACCGGAAATTACGCGCACAGTGAGAACATCCGCCTACGACTTCTTTGAAAACGCGGCGTTTTCGGAAATAGTTTCCGTGAGCCAACTACTGGACATTCGAAGTCGATAGTTGATATCGCGAGTCCAATATTTCTTTGCGTACCTGTAGATTTGTCTTCGTCATGATGGTTATGACTACAGGAGAACAAGTGTTGCAGGTGACCGGTGGGCTTCTAAGTGTGTACGCTGTACTACGGTATAGTAAAGCGGACTTTCCCTAACGAATGTCGTGTGCTTAGTTTTGTTATGGCGGAATTATAATTGATTGCTAACCTTCTTGGGCAGCAAATTAATGCACTAAGTTACGCTCTTGACAAGGCAAGATATGTAACGATGGGCGCTAGTTTGAGTACCTACTTTTGGCGGGTACAACTTTGCCACCGTGGCCACTGGATAAAAAAAAAAAAAGTTGCCGTGGGTGCCACAGTAGAAGACCCGCGGTCGGGCTAAGAAGCAGCGTCGAGGATGAACATGTCGGTACAGGGAAACCGGTGTTTACGGTGCTCACTCAGCGATGTGTTCCACAAGATGCAGGCCGATTGTTTCAGGTCGGTGCTACTACGCGGTTTGAAAGCGGTCGCCATTTATAATGGTTTCGCTGGCCCTACCAAACCATTTCCCAGGTACGAACACCGCGGTTATTTGGAAAGCAGGTTATTCGTTCACGTTTCAAGAATGGCATTCACTAGAGCGTGTGCAGCAACCGCGTGTTCTGTGTTGCTTCTGGTGCATTCGCTATGAAAAAAAAAAAAAAATTAGGCTACGTATCTGCGCGCTTTGGTGCAAATGTCGTCGAAAGTCTAAAGTCTCCTGCCGGCCTTTTTTCGTGCATAGTGTCGCCTTCTCAACGCAGCGTAAGAAACATTAGGGTCTTTAGAATTATGTATCTACGTATTTTCTAGTAAATGAACGCAGTACCTAATACTTACGTGCTGATGTTGGGCCTCAGATACGCGTAATATTTGCTTTTTGATCGGCAATGTTCACAACTATGAAAGCAGCCACCAGTTTAAGATGGAAGGGAGTTAAGCAAGTGCTTAAACTTTGGCTGGGTGTCTGAATTGTGTGATAGCTAGACAAACAGTTGAAAATGTCTGCGTAATGGGAATAGTGAATTCCGGCTACTCCCGTTTTAGAAGTCACTGGCAGGTGAAAACAAAAAAAAGGTTGCTTTTCTTCACAGATATGTGATTCTGTTCAAGCTTAGTGACGTTTGGTGTTCAATTTTCTCTTTGTTTTCTTCAGTGATGTGTGATAGTATTGCAGTGTTGTAAGTTACATCGTGTTTATGCACTCTTGTTTGTACGCCCCCCCCCCCCCCTGAAGTAGGCATTTAGTTACCCAGTGCGGTGCGATTGTACTCACCTGAACTGCTGTTCCTAGGCTTCCCTGATTCGAGTATCCCCCCTCCTAAAAAAACAACAAACAAAACAAATGAAAACCGAAAAACTTGAAAAGTACCAGTTGATGTAAATAACACGGTGTTGGGACTCCGGGTCCTGTCGGTCTCGTTTTCGGTAGCTGGCCCCGTCGCAGGATCCATCGTCCAACAATTGAGCGAGAAAGAAGCGCCCGAACGAACAACAGAGATTTATTTACATGTGGAGAAGTGGTCAACTGACCCAAAGAGAGAAGAGAAGAGTGCGTGTGATACAAAACGTCTTCGGCATTTTATAGCGCCGCGCCGTTGACACTGGGCGCCCCGTCCGCATCGTCAGCCAATACGGTGTCTCCGGCCCCTCGGCCACGAGAGAGGGGGAAACACACCTCACAACACATGGAGTGGCACATCCCAACACGAGGTCCATATATGGTCACGGCGCCCTAAAATGTTACCAAACATGGTCACGAACGCACAGCAGACCCCGGAGCTCTCCCGGCGAGGAGGAACCCGAATGGGGAGGTGGGGGTGGACGACACCGTCAGGTCAAGAACCGGTTCTCCCCCAACCTTTTCCTGCTTGGCTCCCCAGGGCCGGTCGTAACAGTCTCTCGCGCGGGGGGGTGAAGATCTCGATGGGCTGAGGTTTGCAGCCACTGTCCGGAGAGATCATCGCCGGCAGTCGGTTTGGTGACGACCGTCTTTGATGAAGTAGAGGGCAACACCTGCTTCATTGAGGGCTCAACAGACATCACATACGCACATGAAAACACAACTACTCAGCCGGTGAGCGCCGGACAATTCCGCCAAACTCCACCAGGCAATTTTCCCCTTTAACTGATATTAAAGGAAATACACAATTTATTCAAAATGTTACTCACACTTTAAGGTGACACAAAACAACAACACTGGAAGCACACCGAACCCGAAACCCTGGATAGCCGTGTCTTCAACGTTTTCAAACAAGTACACCTAAAAGAGTAAAAAAACAATCACTAGCTCTTGTCTAGGTCAGGAAAAAAAATGCCAGATTTCTCGAGACATCCTCTCGCATCAGGGGCATCGACTTAAGCCATCAGCGTTGCCATGGAGTACACCCTTTTTGTAGCGTATCTCAAACGTATATTGTTGCAAAACGAGGCTCCAACGCAGCAGGCGGCCGTTCTTAGAGGACATGGTCTGTAGCCAGGTGAGAGGACAGCGGTCCACTTCCACAATGAACTTGCTTCCGGCAATATAACAAGCCAGTTTCTGGACTGCCCAAACCAAGCACGCACATTCCTTTTCGCTAGCGCTGTAAACCTGCTCGCGAAGGGTGAGTTTCCGGCTAACATAGAGGACGGGATGCTCTTGATCCCCCTCATCCCTTTGACTAAGAACTGCCCCCATGCCTCTATCACTAGCGTCGCATTGAACTATGAAAGGCCTCGAGTAGTCCGGTGAACTAAGCACAGGTTGGCTCTTAACACTCGCTTCATCACGGAGTGAAGCTTTTCTATCGAGTTCGACTGCGGATGGTAGACTGAACTATGCAATAATTTCACGCCACACCGCTCTAGAAAGGTTGTCGTTAAGGCACTCGTGAAAATGGTGCCCTGGTCTGATTGTATCTCGGCAGGAAAGCCTACCCGGGCAAACACGAACAGAAGTGCGTTCACTACTTCGACGGAACTTAGCTCTTTTAGCGGGACCGCCTCTGGAAATTTAGTAGCTGGGCAGATTAAGGTCAGGATGTGACGGTAGCCTGAAGTTGTCTTGGGCAAAGGACCTACTGTGTCAATTACCAACCGACGAAAGGGCTCCGTGATTACGGGTACCAGCTTCATTGGAAATTTCGCCTTATCTCCCGGCTTACCCACTCGCTGACACACATCGCAAGATTTTACAAACTTCTCTACATCTTTAAAGCATCCAGGCCAGTAGTATTCCTGTAAAAGACGATTTTTCGTCTTCTTTACGCCTAAGTGGCCTGACCATAATTCTCCATGCACCAAACTAAGCAAATCCTGACGATACGCCCGAGGTACGACTACCTGGTCAAATTCTACTCCTCGCCTATCTAGATATTTTCGATAGAGTATGCCGCTCCTCTCTTGGAATCTCACATTTCGTTTGGCGATTCCCTCTTTCGAACTGTCCTGGAATTGCTTAAGCGTTGGGTCACCCTTTTGTTCGGTTATTAATGAAGCGGGGCTCACCTGCAGCAGCCGACTGAAATTATCCGAAGTTGGCATGACACACAACTCTTTTGTAGTTCCTAGTACCTGGAATGTGTCACCCTCTGTGCTATCCTCTACACTACCAGGAATCGGCTTGGGAGCAACGGCATTTTCTATTTGCTCGGTCAACGAGGCGTAATTGACCCCTTCCAATTCGGGAGGAGGTTCATCGTCGCCTTTAGGAATGGTTGCTTCCGCGACTACGGCTTCTGCAGCCTGTTCTCGCACAAGTCGATTTGTTACCGTGGTGTCCAACTCGCAACCAGGCCCGTTGTCGATTTGAGGCTTGTTTGCCTCAGTGAATGTTGCTCTTGCAGCCAGCGCACGTGCCTTCGATTTAGTCAGTGCCTGCACTATGCCTTCTCCCAACGTTAGACCTTTCTCCTTCAGCATTTGATCTGACTTATTTGAAAATAAGTAAGGATACTGAGGGGGTAGATATGGCGATACCGCGGCTTCCGTTTCCAAAGTACCAAATGCGCCTTTAAGGACAACTTTAGCTACGGGAAGGCACTGACTGTTTGCTTCT